AGAGAATATATAGAACTGTGAGGGAATAACAGCAAATAAATCTGCTGCAGCGTAGAACTCTGAAATTTAACAGTATCCACTAATACACCTCTCCCAAAACAGGTGCTACATTGTCATGCTATTCACAGTTAAGCTGTTAACATTACCCAGATGAGAAAATAATATTAAAATGCGCCTTAAATACATGGAGCCTAAGTGCTTGGACTTGAGTCACCTGAAACAGTGGTGAGCTCCTACGAACACGGTAATAAACATTTTGCTTCCATAAAAGGCAAGACATTTATTGATTGACTGGCTCAGTAAATTTAGTTAACATACCTTGAGCAGATCTGCTGATGCATAATAAACCATCCGTAACAGAGCACGCAGACATTTGCAGCGCACAGCTGGTCCAGCTGATGAGCTGTAAACTTCATAGAGCACACTGAATAGTGACCGAATAAAGGAGGCAGCTAGACCTCTTTCCTCACGCAGACAAGCCACTCTTGCATCTCGCGTGCTGGAAATGAAAATGAACGACGTAGTGGAAACATGTTCTAAACAGTACTTTAAAAAAAATTGTTAAAGCAAACATTTTTTTAAACAGGGATGTAGTTTCACGGCATTACCCTGAAATTTCGTTACACCAATATTCGTTATTGTAAAATATTTTTACATAAGAAAATATTACATTTTGAATAAAGTTTCTTTTATGTATTCTTAAAGAATTATTTTCAGTGAAAAGGTGTTCTAGTTAATGACACTTAAAAGTGATACATAACAAGATATTTAAGTACACTTCACTGTGTAGTTAAGATCCTGCGTTTCATTCCTAACTGCAACAAATTGCTTACCCATTGCCACTAGCTGCCCGACCACTGGCATTGCTGCTACAACTAAGGTTACTTTCCGAATTTGAGCCAGCAGGCATGAGGGCTGATGGCTGCACACTAGTTGCTATTGCCGTTACCCCTACACTCAAGGTGGAACCTGCAGCAATAAAAAACATGATCACAAACTTTATTTCAGTAACATATTTTTGTATTCTGAGCAGCTATTTTTTAATTAGTACGAGGTGCGATCGGCAAGTTTCAAGACTGTGTCAATAGAGTGCGAACCGGATGTAGTACGAGCTTCTGCCGCTAGGGGGTGCGGCCTACATTCATAGTGAATCAGTGTGCCAGCCGGCATCATCGAATTAGCATTTGTTTCTTAGTTACGGGCGTTTTGGTAGTGCATTACACCGACCCTCCTGCGATTTCGGAATGGCGTGTGCATCAAATTTTGCCAAAGACTCGCCAAAACGGCTACGGAAACCTATGAAATGCTCAAGCAAGCATTTGGGGAGTCCGCAATGGGTCGTGCACCAACTTTTGTGTGGCATTCACGTTTTAAAAATGGCCGAACCTCTGTCGATGATGACGAGCGTTCTGGACGACCATCTTCGAGCACAACGCCCGAAAATGTTACGAAGATCGACGTCGTACTATCAACGACTTGTGCGACATTGTTGGGATAGGCTATGGGGCCTGTCAGCTGATTCTAAAGGAAGAACTCCACATGCGACGCATCGCAGCCAAGTTTGTGCCAAGGTTCCTGTCTGAGGACCAGAAGCAGAATCGACTTTTCGTTTGTCAGGAGCTCAAAGATCTTGCAAGAACCGACCCCAACTTCCTTTTTAAGCTCCGTGTGACTTCTTCCTCTTCCCAAAGATGAAAATTCAGCTAAAGGGGAGGAGATTTGAGACGATAGAAGAGATTCAGGCAGAATCGCAGATGGTGCTTGACAGGCTGAGAAAGAAAGATTTCCAGGGATGCTTCCAGGCTTGGCAGCGGCGCTGGGATCGTTGTGTTCACTCCCAGGGGAACTACTTCGAGGGTGATGGATGAATTTAATACCTGAGATAAGTGTACGGGGCTTTTTTTAAAAATAGGCACAGTCTTGAAACTTTCCGATCGCACCTCGTATACACTTCTGCCATGTTTCCTCAGAACATTTAATTCACCAATAATCTACTCATTTCAGCTAAAAGGAGAAAACTAATTTCACATGGGAATGTGGAAGTAACAACCACACATGTGGAATGCAGAAATACTTTACAAAATGGAAAAATGAAAGAACACTGTCAACACACCTCAGTACAAATACAGGTTTGATAATTTCTGTGCTAGTGTAAATAAACTGACATGTCATACCTGCTGACAGGAGGCCACTATCATTAGCGTTGGCATTATTCACAGTGCCAGAGCTGGCACTAGCAGACATGTCCACCATGTTGCTTGACAGGGAGCTGGGGTTAAGTCGTCGCTGTACAGGTCTTGTTGTGCCAGTATCTTCATTGATTTGCTGCATAGAATGGAAGTCTACAGTATATGTACGGCCTTGAGTAGAGAGGCTGATCTCATCTTCACCAGACTGATGAGCAGCCTGTGTTCCAATAGACAGTATGAACATTTGAAACTTTTCAAGTTGAATCATACTATTTGGAGGGTCAAAATCATATTAAGTTGGAACAAAAGATAAACATGAAAATCACAAGCCCCTGTTACAGGATGAATGTATTTTTCATGTTTATGACAAAGGAGACTTTTAGAGAAACTCATCATCGTCTTCAAGACTGAAGGCCTATATGTCTTAAAAAAGATGTGCTACTGTCCCTTTTACTATCGGCAAAAATACAATCTGCACAGACTACATATGTTCTGACCCAGAAAAGCCATTACCGCCATAACATCCAATAGTCAATATCGTACAATGAATAACTTCAGAACTGTTTCACTCATGGCCTAATATAGTCCTTTGCTTGACAAGTAACTAATACAATAACATATCCTCACCTATCTACTAACATATTAGATAAGGTACACTTTAAAATTAAATTTTCCAACTGAAATTAGGTTAAAAATATTCAGTTTCTTTGCGTGTTCCCTCCAGATCCATTAGAGACTACTTTACGTTTTTTTCATCATAGTTTTAAGGCTAGTCCCTTGTTTAGGTGTTTCTGCTGCCAATGCAGTGCCAAACCAACGGTCACAGGACCCCCTGTATTATTCTGAAGATGTTTTAAGACTGGTGAGGAAAATCAATCCCCAGTCAAATTCACTTTCACAGTACTACCAGCTCTGCAACCTGAGAAAAACATCTCATCTGGTGACAAATGTGTCAGAATACATGATATGTCCTTAGGAATTAGCAGCATAATTCAACATATTCAAAAATAGCTCAGGAACCCAAC